GTACATACGTGTACATATTAGCACCTAAAATGGACACATTAGCTCCTGAAATGGACATATTATCACCTAAAATGTACTTAGCACCTAAAATGTACATATTAGGACCTAAAATGGACACATTAGCTCCTGAAATGGACATATTAACACCTAAAATGGACACATTAACACTTAAAATGTACATATTAGCACCTAAAATGGACAAAAGTTTACCTTTTGAAAAGGTACAGCCCCAGTGACAGCTTTTGTACCTTTTTTTCTGAGAGTGTATACATGTATTTTTTTTTGCCACCATGCAAATGTCAAACACCGTTGGATTCACCAATGAACACTTTCTCACAAAGGAGAGCGTTTTGTTGAGCTTTATCAATCTGTCACTATAGGTACAATTATGGTTGATATTTCAGATATGAATCTGACCTTGGAATTAGCTAATCAGGGTTATTCTTTTTTGACAGGAATAAAAAGGAGGCTGAGACTTATAATCTTTACAATAGCAAGCACTAAAGATGCCAGATCACATGATTTTCACAACTTTAAAAACTGTTTTATGGAGTTTTTCTCTACTTATTTTCTTCCCCGGAAAGACATTTCGTTAGCTGAACAATCGATATGTTGTTAAACAACAGTAATCAACCGTAAGTCTATCTCGTTTTCACTCGTCAAAAATAAACGGTGTCTAACCATAACCAAGTTCTGTTCTGTGAAACTCTGATGGTGTGGTGATAAATACAGATTAAAAACGGCATTTTTATCAGAAAGCAACAATGGATCCATTGAGCTATCATCAACATGATGAATTGAAATCACCTACAGTGTGTAAAGTCGGTGTGAGGACAGCAGCAGCTGGTTTTGGTATCTGCAGCATACCAGCAGTTCCTATGTGACGGCGTCACCCACATTCATTCTGCAGAACCTGCCACACGAGTCCAGGCCAAACCGGACCACAGACAGACTGGCAGTTCTGGAGGAATGTCATAACTGGACAATAAATGAATGACTTCCTACAGCTGTGCATTTACTGGAACTTGGGTTTCAGTGTCTATTCATGTGCACAAAGAACCTATTCAGAAAAAAAATATTTCAAATAATTTTATGGGATGTTTTTTTTTTGTCAATTCCAATTAATAATATGTACAGTAAGAAAAACTAGCTCTGACAGATCATTTATGATTTAAAGAACAGATTGGGGAGCCTGATATGCTGATATTTTCTGGAAGGAATGGAGCAATCTTATCGTTTCTAGAAAGAACAGAGGGTGCCGACCTCATCAATTCAACATGACGTCACACACGCACACAATGGGGGGCAAGACCTTTAAAGGGATTTTCACTTTGAAATTAATTTGTTGGTATGTTTTAGCTTACCTCAAGGCCAGGGCATCCAAGATGTAGGTGTCTTTGTTTCCGCAGTATTTTCAATTTTTTAGGTCAAACTGTTCGTGTCTGTCATATAATGCAGGTCTATGGTCACCACCTCAAAGAGCATGCACAGAGAAGTCCAAATTAAACAGGATTTAATGACTCGTAAATGTAAGCACACATTGATGGCCTAAGACACACAAAACGAGCGGTTTGTGTGAGAAAACGAACAGTATTTATATCATTTTTACCTCTTTTTTATTTTTATTGATGCAATATTTACAAACAGAATAAGTCGACACATACAAGCAGTATTCTATCAAAACAAGAAGAAATTATGAAACCGAATACATTAAGAGAGGAGATTTAAAAGAAATGTTCGTTTTTACCTCTTGTAACCACAGCCAGATCGTGATCTGAGGCCGCGGGCGCAAGCGCCGGAAGTGATCTCTCGCGCGATTGTGAAAAAAAAAAAATCAACATTTTCTGTTTATCTATGGTTGATATATCGAAATCGTCTTCTATTGCAATTTCTTGTACATCTAAATATGTTTAGATCTTCACAGTGAAAGGTAACGTTTTCGAAATCTCTGTGTAAACAATGAGTGACGTTCATGTGCGAGAGATCACTTCCGGCGCTTGCGCAGACCGAAGCGTCCGCACCCTCCGTGTACTTGGAAGTGACAGTGGTTAAGAGGTAAAAACGATATGAATACTGTTCGTTTTCTCACACAAACCACTCGTTTTGTGTCTTAGACTATCAATGTTTACTTACATTTAAAATGAATTTCAAGTTTCATGTGTTTCTGAGACCCAGGCAGACTGTTGTCCTCTGTATGTAACTTAGCGGATTTCTCTGAGACCATACAGTACATGTCACAGATTTTGCTCTAAATGTCTTGTAAATTTTTGGAGGTTTCACCATGACATGGTCTTTAAAAATGACTGACATTGACTGAATGATCACATTTACTCTTGAGGAATTATGATCATATTTTGTAATTATCATTTCAAACTGACTTTTTTTAACAAACTGTTTGCTATAAATAAAAAGGAAAAGGAAAACGTTATGGGGTTTAAAATAAGACTATGACTTTCCATTGCGAAACAGGGCATCGATTTCAACATCCAGTAGCACTTACACAGAATGTTTATCAGGCTTTTGGGGAGATAAGTGAATCTGGAAAGAAAATATATATTAATATTTCTTTGAAATATGAGATAAAAATGTTGCCAAGTTGCTACTCCCATTATTAGGTACACTTCTTTTTTCAGTACGCCTTGCCCCAAGAACACATTAATATGCAACTGTAAAAAGTTAAATAAAGATTTCAACTTTAAAAAGCAAGGGTACATGCTGCCTTAAAATTTTAAGTTTAGTCAAATTGAAATGAGAAGTTGTACCACTTAAAATTTTAACGCAGCACGAACACGTCTTTCTAAGTTGATTTATTTGTATTTTTTTACAGTGATGCATGGTATAGAATGGAATTACCCATTTATGACTGTTTACACACACACACTGAATTAAGTAAAATAGCATATCAAATATGCAACCTATATGCCTGCAACCTAAAAAATAAATATGAATAAAACATGTTTTTGCCTATACATGTCTTTTACATTTTTAAATATAGCAGCAGGTAATGTACTGTACAATATATGGATGACAAGTGCCCTAAACTTGCTTTCTTTGCATTTGCAAATTGTGTTTCAAAGAAACACAATTTCTTTGCATTCTATAAACCACAGAAAAACATGAAAATATGCATACAAATATAATCTAAAACCTTTTAAAATTTTGTTAAGCAAACTCAATACACTTTAAAGACAATGATCCTTATTTCAGTTTTAGATCTTTAATTGATAACATTTACGCCAGTGTTACAGTAAAGACACCAACAGGCTGAAGGTAGTAAATACCAAATACAAGGTTCCCACTAAAGCTACTACTTCATACAGCAGAATAAATTATACCATGGTAACGTACACACACATGCTGAAAGGAAATGGGAGGAAAGCATAAACACAAATGCTAACGAAAGCAGGTCCCCAGTTTGACGTCCCAGAGGGGCATGATGGATCATATTTTTAATATCCAAATGTTGATTAACAAAGGTGTTAGCCGTGAATGCTCTATACTAGAAGTCATTTCAGTTTTTTGATGGAGATATCGACAGCTGAAAGCCAGGGGACGGGGTTCGATAATCGCTCGAGGATTCGTTGTAAGTCAGAAGCAGTCAGTTAGCACCAAACACTGCTGTGTTTCCCACAGTCCATCAGTCACTTCCATCGCAAAGTTTCAGCTCCAAACGGGTCGAATGTCAATATTTCATCGCCACTATGGATCCACAAATGTGCTGAAGCAGAAGCACAGAATCATAAGCGATACACACTTCCGTTCAGTTTTAAGTGTTAATGTTTTTTTTATCGAGAGCTTCTCACACACACTTTGAATCCTAAGAAAAATGATACATACGAAACCAAAGCAGTAAATATAAACACAAAATTACAATATAAGACTTACAGATATCCCCTGCTTCATCTACCACACAACACCTTTTCTGTTTTAGTATAAAACATATTCTTTATAAACAAACAATAAACGATCTGCTTCATCTACTGTACAATTCCATTTATGTGTCAAAATGTCCAACGTTCTTTGTACAAACTTGTGAATGTGAGAGATCTTAATTACAGGAGCCCTGGGTGTGTTTTCTAATACAAAAAAGAGAAAAGGAAAACCGGAGAGGAAGAGAGCAACCAAGAAAGAGGTTAGGGTCGGGAATGTTGTCAAAATTACACACTAACACTCTAAAAAATGCTGGGTTGTTTCAACACAGATTTGGGTCAAATATGGACAAACCCAAATGTTGGGTTAAACATGTAAGTTGAACATTTTAAATGACATTTTTGTTTTTGTTCATATTTGACCCAATTTTGGGTTGAAACAACCCAGCATTTTTTAAGAGCGTATACCATTCAAAACTTTGAGGCCAGTAAGACTGTTTTGTGTTGTTTTTGAAAGACAAAGATGCAATACATTGAACAGTAAAGATGTTTATAAACTCTTAAAAAAAATGCTGGGTTGTTTTAACCCAATTTTGGGTCAAATATAGACAAACACTGGGTTAAAATGTCATTTAAAAAATGTAACCCAATGGCTGGGTGTGTCCATATTTGACCCAGAATTGGGTTTTAGCATTTTTTTTTTTGTAAGTGTAATATTACAAAAAACTTCTTTTGTTTGTTTTCTGTTCATCAAACGAAATGTATCATGATTTCCACCAAAATATGAAGCAGCAAAAACTGCATTCAACATTTATCCAATAGGAAATCAGCATATTGGAGTGATTTCTGAAGGACACTGAAGTTTGATCACAGGAATAAATTACATTTTACAATATATTCATGTAGAAAACAGGTATTTTAAAGCAAAATAATATTTAGTGTTTTTATGGAGCACATAAATGCATTTTTGGTGAGCATAAGAGACTTCTTTAAAAAAAAAACAGCCAAACTTTTGAACGGTAGTGTACTTGGTCTAAAAAACACTTTCTACATAGTTAATAAAAAAGTTTGCATTGCTTAACTCAAAATCATAATATGCATGTTTGAAAAAAAAAAAACAGAATCTCTTGATTTTTTTGTCTTCTATAGTTCGAGGACAAAGTGTTGCTTCTTTCTAGAGAATTCAAGAATAAAGTTCACAATTGTTTTCCAAACAATGCTGTTTTCTCCCCCCTCCCCTCCTAGATGATCACTATAGACGAAACAGGGATTTGAGCGAGAGAGAAACGCCTGGTCCTCTAAACGCACAGCTGATTCCCAGCAGAAAGCCTAAAGCCAGGCGTCCCGCAGAGTGGCCATGGTTTGCATGGAATGTCAAGTGAAAAATGAAGCGGAGAAGGTCAAACCGCTCGGGGCGAGGGAACCCGGAAAGCGGAAAACCAGCAGTCACACTTTCAACACACACACACTAGCCCACTGCTAGCATTTCACATTAAAAAAAACCCTTAGTGTTCAAATGAATAAAAAAAATGCTACGTGTGGATCTTGAAACAGCGAAACGAAAACAATAGTTACGATAATCATAATTACAGCAACTGTAAGGGCAATCGTAATAACAATACCGATAGAAAACAAGCGAGATTATCCGTTGTAATGACACTGATTCATACACAACTATGCACAGCAAGGTGAAAGTACGTTTTGGGAATGCGTTCTGTCCGAGTTAGAGGTCCATGGCCCGAATCTCGGAATGGCGAGAGTCTCGTCTTGGGAATGAAGAGCTCCAGCTGGGGGAGCTCAGGAGGTGTGTGTGAAGCTTCAGTAAGCCTGTCCTGTCTCCACCTGGAGGAGTCCCAGCACTGCCGAATGATCGCCCAGCTTCATCCTTCTCTGAGTCGACAGACTCACGTTCTTGGCCAGATAGTCCACAGCGGCTGTAGGAAACACACAGACACATGGCATGAGCAGCAAGTTCCACATAAAAGCGTCTGTATGATGTTTACTAAACAGTCTCGTGACATAAAACAATCTGGTGTATTTCTAAAAGGAGAAGAATTAGAAATCGTCTCGGAATTTAAGTACCTTGGTCTGACTGACCCTTGATTCTACATTAAGTTTTAAAAAACATGTCAAAAAAATATTGAATAAAGTAAAATTTAATTTACGAAATTTTAAACAAATTCGTCAATTTATACCATTTGGGGCTGCTAAAGTGTTTTTACATTCGATGATTCTATCGCATATGGAATATTGCTGTACCAGCTGGACTTTGACCGGTATGAACACATTTACAGTAAATCAATAGAATTACTCTATAAAAATGCCTTAAAAGTCCTTGATAAAAAGCCAATGTCCTTCCATATTTGTAAGATTTTACAAAAACACAACATATTAAGCATAGAGAATTAAATTTTTTTTAAATATGCCGGTTTTGTTTACAAAGTGTTACATGGATTAGCCCCACCCCCCTTGTTGGACTTTTTTAAACTAAACACTAAAAGTGGTGCCAGGACACGGGCCTCTGTTAGAGGTGACTGTGAAGTTCCGTTCAGAAGAACAGCCTTTGGACAGAATTCTCTGTCTGTGAAGGCCTGTAAGTTATGGAACAGTATCCCCATCTCTGTCAGGGAATGTTCCACATTTCCTATATTCAAAACCAGACTCAAAGTGTGGCTTATAGCAAACCAGTCTTGTGACCCCTAAGTGTTTTCTGTGTTTTTTGTTGTTGATTCCGGCTTGTAATTTTTATTTAGTTTTTTTGTTTATTTTGTTTTTGTTGTTATTTTGTTTGTTGTAATCTTTGTATTTTTTGTTATTTGTCTAGGGACTACGGATGTAAATTAGCCCTGTGGCTATAATCCGGCATGTTTACGTCTGTTTTGTTGTCTCAATTCAGAAGTTCATTAATGTGCATTGTCCCTATCAAATAAATAAATAAATAAATCTCACAGCAATTTATGCATTAATAAAACCTTCGTTCAAATGGTTTGTTTCAACGAACCGCTTCAAAAGCTGTCCAATTGTTAAAAACACATTCAAAATCACAATGCTTTTCATTTTTCATTATATATTGGTTGTTTTTAGCGTAAAAGACCTAATTATGCTCACGCCAAATGATGTTTTTAACGTGTTAATACCAAGCACAGATTTTTTTACCTCATGCTTTGACACTGTAAAAATTTTGTTGTCAAATCAACTTTATAATAATTTATTTAGTTGAGATAACTTATTATTTTGAGTTTCTGATGGTTAAATTAATCTCCTTCATTGTATTAACTCACTTTTTCCAGTTCAATCAACTTAAAATTTTAAGGCAACCCAGGTTACTTACTTTTTTAAGTTAAACCAACAATATTTTTTTACAGTGTAGTAATCACAACATTTTTTCTTTTGTCAAACCAACTTAAATAATTTATTTAGTTCAGATAACATAATTTTGAGTTTCTGATGATTAAATCAGTCTCCTTCATTGAATTAACTCACTTTTTCCAGTTCAATGAACTTTTTTAAGTTAAACCATCAATATTTTTACAGTGCCGTGTTTTAATAGTTTAGTTTTTAATAGTCACGTCGTTTTTAAAAGTTTAGTAATTTTATTGTGCCTTAGTGTTTTAGATTTAAATTTAGCTTTATTTTTATTTGATTTGTTTTAGTTTTGGTAGCTAATTTTATTACTTAAACTTATTTCAGTTTTATTACTTTAACTTATTTAATTTTATTTTAAGTCTTCAAAGTGCAAGTTTTTAAAGTTTTTTAATTCATATTTTTATTTTGTTTCAGCTTTATTTCTATTGAATTGAAAGCCATTTTTAATAGTTTGAGTTAATAACAACACTGGTCCAACCGAATCATTCAAATAGAACCGACTCATCACATGAATGACTCTTTTGTGATTCAAAAATCATATCACTGATGAGCCCGTTCTCATCCCAAGGCCTCATATAGTGACGCTTTTGACAATGCATAGACATCCAACGCACACGCGACATATATAGGCCAGAAGGCGCCACCTAGTGGCCGAACCCTAACACTACCCCAGACCTAAACCTACCCATAACCCAAGCGTGGTTTATTGACGTTAAAGGGTGCCATGTGCGTTGGATGTCTACACATTGTCAAAAATGTCACTATATGACGCCCTGGGATGAATACCGTCATCGGTCACTTTTTTAAACCTCTGACCAGAGTGTTTACTCAAATAAAGAGTAATGAAAGATAACACACACACACTAAATTGAGCATTTAGCCATTCAAGGGCCAAAGAGACAGAGAAGTCCTGGTGTCATTCATTCAGCTCTCCCTCTGTGTGTGTGTGTGTATGTGCCAGTCTTTATTACTCTAAGCGTTTGAGATTTCATGCTTCATACTCGCCTCATTTCCAGCAGCTCTCTCATCTGACTCATTAAACAGATCAGTCCTCTCAATCTCACTCATAATTAACCTGACATTCGCTCGTCAGATCTCTTCAATCAAGCCTTCTGCACCTTCTGATGGACCTGACGCTACTTCACACACCCACACAATTATCTAGTTAACTAACTGGAGACAACCCATAGACCTCTGCTGTTCGTACCTCATTCATTATAACCCAAACTAGCAACATACTGTACACCTTAACAGAAAACTTTAAGCAGTTTTAACCATTTTTACCTTTGAAGACACCGAGTTTGCTGGAGTCAGATCACCTCAACACTACCATTCAAAAGTTTGTTGGACATATACGTAACGAAACACACAATACAAACACACATATAATGGCGGGGGAGAGAAGCCACTGACTTCTGTGGCAACATCAGCCTCTGATTATGTTAATTTAATCAATCAAATCTTTCCTGTCCCGAAGCTTGTGTGTGTGTGTGTGAGAGAGGTGAATAAAAGGACATTAGGACCCTAGGGGTGTAAAGTGGGCTTTGAAGTGCCCGTTTCCCAGTCAAGGGAAGAGTGCTGTGACTAACAGAGGAGCCCGGGGCCGATGCCGGGGTCTTTATCAGGAGCATGTGTGTGTGTGATGGGCACAGGGGTCAAAGTGTCCTGAGATGGTCAGTGTCGGGCACTGCTCACCGAAATAAACGAACTCGGATGGGCATCAGTGTGATAAAACAATAATGGCTTACCTACTGAAAATATCAGCATGTGTTGAGCTCCAAAATACAGTAAAAACAGCAATATTGTGAAATATTATTACAATTACAAATAACTCAACTCTATTTGAATATATATATTGTGAACTGTAATATATTCCTGTGATCAAAGCTATATTTCAGCTGCAGTGTCACATGATCATTCAGAAATCACTCTAATATGATGATTTACTGCTTATTAATGGGCAATTTACTGAATAAAAGTTTAAATCTCTTTCAAAAATAAAGAATAAATACAGAGGCAGTTTATAACTTGACTTTATTAAGCTGAATCTCAAATGTTCAACATGTTTTTAGCACCAAACACAAGCTATAAACAGTTTTCATTGCTTTATCGCAACAGTCTAAAAAAAAGCCTTAACACTTAATGGTCTTAACAGAGATATATTACGATTGTTTAATAGTTGGGGGTCAGTAAGATATTTTTGAAAAAAAATTTAAAACATTTATTCATTAAGGTGACAGTAACCACAATTATAATGTTACAAAATATTGCTATTTTAATAATACTTTCTATTTATTTAAGAATCTCAAACATTACGGGCTGACAAAAAAATTAAGCAGTGCAACTAATTTCAACATTGATAATAATCAGAAATGTTTCTTGAGAAGAAAATCAGCATATTAGAGTGATTTCTGAAGGATCATGTGACTCTGAAGACTGAAAATTCAGCTTTGATCACAGGAATAAATTACATGAATTAATACAATTACGAATTACATTTAAAAAATGTAATTGCGACTTTTTATCTCACTTGCAATTTCGAGAATTGCGAGATAAAAAGTCACTTTTTAATTTTTTTGAGTGGCGTAAAAACATACATACAAGACGGTTATTTTAAATTGTAATAATATTTCACAACATTACTGGTTTTACTGTATTTTTGATCAAATAAACCCAGGCTTTGTGAGCAGAAGAGACTTGCAAAAACATTACCGGCATTTACAACAATAGACATTTAGTCATATACACAGAGTGTTTGATGGCGGGACAGTACGTACTCTGGCCGTACTGGCTGTACTGGTATCCAGCAGTGACGGGGTCCACGCTGTAGCTGGTGGCGCTGTATGTGGGGGGACAGTAGGACTGGGACGAGGCCAGACTGTCCTTGATGGTGTCTGAACGCTGGCTACAGCTCGCTGAGATCGAGTTAGATGCCTCCAGACCACCGTGGAGAGGAGAGATGGAGAAATCGTGCTGAGACTGGGACGGGACGGCACTGGGGTTACTCAAAATACTCATCACCTACAGAGACACAGAGACAGAGGCGGGTGTTTAGAGACGGATCCGCTGGTTTGCGTCTAATTCTGCCCATCACTCTTAAAAATAAAGGTTCATTATTCTCATGGTTCTATGAAAAATATTTATGCATACACATTTTGTATAATAACAATAAGGTGCTTTATAGTGGAAAAAGGGTCCATAGAGATTATTACAATTCTTCACACTAAGAAAAACTATTTGTTCCCCTTAAGCAACAACATCAACAACTCTGTAGTGTAAAGGAGAAGGACTTCACCTGGGCTTCAAGACACGTCACGTCACGTCAAGTCGCGTTAAGTCACATCAAGACACGTCAAGTCACGACACGTCAAGTAACGTCACGTCAAGTCACGTCACATCAAGTCAAGTCAAGTCACATCAAATAAAGTCATGTCAAGTCAAGTAACGTCATGTCAAGTCAAGTCACGTAAAGTCACGTCAAGACACGTCACGTCAAGTCAAGTCACGTCAAGTCACATCAAATAAAGTCATGTCAAGTCAAGTAACGTCATGTCAAGTCAAGTCACGTAAAGTCACGTCAAGACACGTCAAGTAACGTCAAGTAAAGTCATGTCAAGTCAAGTAACGTCATGTCAAGTCAAGTCACGTCAAGTCAAGTCAAGTCATGTTAAGTCACGTTAAGTCACATCAAGACACGTCAAGTCACGACACGTCAAGTAACGTCACGTCAAGTCACGTCAAGTCACGTCACATCAAGTCAAGTCAAGTCACGTCAAGTCACATCAAATAAAGTCATGTCAAGTCAAGTAACGTCATGTCAAGTCAAGTCACGTAAAGTCACGTCAAGACACGTCAAGTAACGTCAAGTAAAGTCATGTCAAGTCAAGTAACGTCATGTCAAGTCAAGTCACGTCAAGTCAAGTCAAGTCATGTTAAGTCACGTTAAGTCACATCAAGACACGTCAAGTAACGTCAAGTAAAGTCATGTCAAGTCAAGTAACGTCATGTCAAGTCAAGTCAAGTCACGTCAAGTCAAGTCAAGTCATGTTAAGTCACGTTAAGTCACATCAAGACACGTCAAGTCCCGTCACGTCAAGTCAAGTAACGTCATGTCAAGTCAAGTCACGTCAAGTCATGTTAAGTCACGTTAAGTCACATCAAATCACGTCAAGTCACGTTAAGTCACATCAAGTCACGTCAAGTCACGTCAAGTAACGTCATGTCAAGTCAAGTCATGTCACGTAACGTCACGTCAAGTAACGTCATGTCAAGTCAAGTCATGTCACGTCAAGTCACGTCACGTTAAGCCACATCAAGACACTTCAAGTAACGTCATGTCAAGTCAAGTCACATCAAGTCACGTCATGTCAAGACACGTTAAGTCACATCAAGTCACGTCAAATCAAGTCAAGTCAAGTCACGTTAAGTCACGTCAAGTCAAGTCACGTCATGTCAAGTCATGTCACGTAACGTCACGTCAAGTCAAGTCAAGTCACGTTAAGCCACATCAAGACACGTCAAGTAACGTCATGTCAAGTCAAGACACGTCAAGTCACGTAACGTCAAATCAAGTCACGTCAAGTCACGTCAAGTCAAGTCACGTCAAGTAACGTCATGTCAAGTCAAGTCATGTTAAGCCACATCAAGACACGTCAAGTAACGTCATGTCAAGTCACGTCAAGTCAAGTCAAGTCATGTCATGTCATGTCACGTCACGTCAAGTCACGTTAAGTCACCTTAAGTCACATCAAGACACGTCAAGTCACGCCACGTCCCGTCCAGTCAAGTCACGTCAACTCAACTCAAGTCAAGTCACCTTTATTTATATAGCGCTTTTTACAATACAAATTGTTTCAAAGCAGCTTCACAGAGATAACAGGAACATTATGCAACAAAGTTTGTTTCCAGAAGAAAACAGTGCCACAGTAAGTTCAGTATTTTTTCATTTTTGTTGCTAAAAAGTTATTAATTTAGTTCATTTATAATATATAGCTGCTCTGGAACATACCATGATGTCATCGTCCAGCTCAGTTCAGTTCTCATATAATGGCATCAATGCAGGGAGATCAATATTATTGTTGAATATTAAATTAAGGGTTAGGGCTATGAAAAATGCACAAAAATATTAGTTTAACTATTTATCTGAAATATTTATTTTCAAAAACACATTTTACTCTAAAACTGTAAATCTAAGTTGTGTTCCAAATTTGAGGTTGATATCTCAAAAAAGAGCTCGATTTTTTTTTTTGGCCGCAGTACCAAAAGTTGTCACTAGATGAAATTTCCAATGTGCTCATTTTTCACAGACTATTTGTTTCAGGATCATTTAACCTTTTAGAATCATGTCCATTATTTGTGTGTGTTCACATAGCAAGTGCTAAAACCTTTACCAAGTTTCGTACCATTTCAATGAAGAAAAAAATTATATTTTAATAAAAACAGTTAAATATTTTGGTCAAAAATGACAGAAGAGCACCATTAAAAATGGCAGGTGCCAATTCAGCCAATCAACATACACTCACATCACTGGTAGTTCCCATTGTGCTGGGTTAGACCCAATACAAGCTAAGTTAGTCCCCGCAAAAGGCATCAAAGAGTGGGCACCTCTGCCAGTGGTTATAGGAACTATGGAAACCACTCGTGTAAAATGACCAATAAACCACAGTTGGCTTTCCTGCAACCATTAGACAGCAGAATATATAGATGTGCTCAAGAATATGAGGTCATTCTCTGAGTGCAAACAGAGGGAAGGGACAGAGAATGAAGCACTGCCAGCGTCCCGGAGTGATTCGAAACGGCCAGAGAGAGTGATACAGCAAAAGAAAGAGACGGGGAGCGAAGCCAGACCCATCAGACCCCTGTACCGAGGCCTCCAGCACAACAAGCACTGAGGGAGAAGATAATCCCGCCCCCAGGCTCCAGGAACACCCCCACGCTCATGAATAAAAATGAGCAGCGGTCTGACTCTGAACAGAGCCAAGTACATGATCTCCCATCCCGAACACAGGCCCGGCTCTTCAACCAACACCGATGTGAGCTCAAGCTGCTTGTATGTGAATTGAGAAACAATACTTTCACATTTGGGTTGTTTCAACCCATGTTTGGGTCAAATATATACAAATCCAACAGTTGGTTTACATTTAGTTATTCAATTTTACACTTGGTTTTGTCCATATTTGACCCAAACATGCGTATTATTTATTGGCAAACTCAATCAATGACTAAGTTTGACCTATTTTGACCTCCTCAATTCATCAAAATGTGTATACCATCAGAATATATTGTATTCCACAATGCAATGCACCATTCCTAGTGTCAGGGAATGACATTATTACACTTTCAAACAGCATTAACTAAACATGCATATTAGTAAGATCAAGTGACAACGACTACTATTATAAAGTATACAGTTTCACACAATGGACGGCATGCATGACACACAAACCAAATTTTGTGTCAATCGCCCATAAAGACTTACACAGGAGTGATTTTATGAGTAATTATCACATAATAAATAAATAAATGTTTTTATTCTAGGTTTTTATCACATAATATCCATTTAATATATATATATATATATATATATATATATATATATATATATACATACATACATACATACACGTATATAAATGTATTATTTATAATTTATTTTAAATGTTTAATTTTATTTTGGGCCTATTAAGGTATATATATATATATATATAAATTATACATTTATTATTTATTATTTATTTTACATTTTTAATTTTATTTTGGGCCTATTAAGGTGTATATATATATATACGCCTTAATAGGCCCAAAATAAAATTAAACATTTAAAATAAATTATAAATAATAAATTTATATATATATATATATATATATATATATATATATATATATATATATATATATATATATAATACACCTTTAATAGGCCCAAAATAAAATAAAAAAATTAAAATAAATTATAAATAATAAATTTAAAAAAAATTATGCATACAGAATGCAGGAAACAGTGTGCCATTAACTAGCATTTCATTGCAAAGCGGTCAATTTAGTCAACTATATTCTAGCTATGTTGCTCATAGAAAAGGGGTCAGGTCAAAAGGTCATGCAAGAAAACATATCATGTAAAAAACACATAAGGGAGAAATATGAAATAGTGTTTGGGTCTGGAGAAGTGTTTTCCAGGAAGCCTCACACATGGTCTTCCCTCTCAGGCGACAGAAAGCATCCTTCCCAGCATCAGGTTCACGTTGCGCCTCGATACGCTACGCTGACCTTTGACTCCCTTTGGCTGCTAAACCAATTAGACCATCACGGAGCTGGTTAAACACACACACAAACCGAGTTTAAACGCAGTTCACATCAGCTAACCAAAAAAAAAAAAAATCAACCTGCAAAACAATCGGTGACGACGCGGCACACGCGAGCGCACGGGGGAAATGAATCACATTATGATAAATATTCCCAAAATGTCTTGCAGGAAATATGGAAGACTCGAGGCACGTCGGACGCATAACTCTGCTTAGTGGTTTCCTCAAGCTAATTCTATCAGTATGGAAGCCCCTTCCACGCACATGTGACATGCATCCACATAAGTGGGAGATTCATTGCCGTGTCTTTATAAGAGACACATGAGATGTGGCCATATGGCTGGAAGATTCATACGTTTCCTGATTATGGCAGACACAAGTAGCCCTTGTTGGTGGCCACACGAGGGGGCCGTGACGGCAGCTGCAGGGGTGGGACAGATTTAGTCAACGGTTAATTGAAGCTTGATTACACTGCTTCCTTCTTTATATGCACATTAAATTAAAGCGGCAGACAATCAGGACTGACTCCTCTATCAGCGCTTCTAATTATAAAACACCAAATTCCAGCAGCGCTTCCTCAACAGAGCCGCACTGACCTCCTTTACAGAGCGAATGAAGGGAAATCGCTGGACTTTTGCTGGAAAGTCTGCTAATGTTACACATTTACTTTAGATAAAATACTAGTGATGCATTCACATCACATTGTAGAAAGGATAGTAA